TCACTAACCATTGTCCTATGATGGGGTATCTGTACTTACTAAACTTTGCTAAGTGTGGCAAAAGGCCACAATTTTAATTGAGAAACTCCATTCAGTAATAATGGTTTGTCTCCAAGGTTAACCTGCTCACAAATTTTCCATGAAAAATTACATTTTACAATAAGGTTTTTTTTTTTGTTTTTCCTTCAAACGACAATCTTCATTTTGATTGTTGTAGTCACAACTTTCCAGTTCAAACTTACTTAGGCTTCTTCAGGTGCCAACCATATTTAGTAATATCTTGGGAATTCTTAACAACATCCAGAAAGTTACCAAATTATGGTAGACATTTAAAAATGGCCACATGGTGCATCAGCCAAAACACTGATTCCATCAACCATGATGACCCCAATTTGGAGAAATTGGTGAATTTATAAGGGGTTGCTGACAAGACATTGGTCTAAGAATGTGGGAAGTAGATTGGAGTGAGAACTTCTGAGCACCCTATAAAATAAGCAAAGATTTGTTTGCCAATAAGCCGGAGGTCTTCAACGATACATGAGAAACCTGCTAACCATCAAGTAGCTCCTATTATTGAATGTTTGTAACATCTGCATCAAAAGGTGTAGTTCCTTTACTGACCAAATCCTGGATATCATGCTAAACTACATTCAACAAGGCCTCTGATCGAGAGATTGGAGGTTTTGAGGTGCCTGGAATAACTTCTTAATGGCTATTGTTCCCAGCCCCACCCTGACTGGGGATTTTACTGCCTGTTAGGGTCCTAGCTATGGGCAAATAGTGAACCACCAAACAAAAAAAAAAAACACTAGGAAAGTATAAAAATACATTTTAATAGTAAAAATACCAGTAATAGATTTTATAAAAAAAGACCAATAATACATATATTAAAATGACCAGTAATACTTTTTTATCTCTAGTTGAAGGTATACAATTGTGTTCAAAATATATTTAGTTAAATAAAATTGTGTTCAAATTTAGATTTTGGTATTAAATAACCCATAGAGATATTGATATGCCCCTAAACAAAATCAAATGAGCAGCATCAATGAACTCTCTCAGGATATTAATCCATATAATATCCTACAATTTCTTAAATCATACTGTATTCCAAAATATAACTTAAAAAACTACAACGTAAAAGGCACATATCACCGCCTTTTAATCATATCCACACAAATTTGTACATGCACAAAAGCTGAGTATCATCTACCATGTATTCAATTGTGAAATCAGAATAACATTTTTGTTACTTCAAAGCTCACAAGAAAATTAAATTTTAGCATTAAATGACCCATAAGTAGCTGATATGCCATTAAACAAATCAACCAACCAGCCTAGAAAATCATATCCCTGTTGCTCACAGATGAAATTGATTCTGAATTTCTTCAGGCAGTGGCTATACTTTAGAACAAGGAAACTAGGATATATATATATATATATATATATATATATATATATATATATATATATACACACATAAAATAAATTAATCCAAACAAATATGTAAATAAACAACAAATTTAACAAATCATGTATGCATAGGTAAATACAAGAAAATGCAATAACAACCAACAATAAAATAATAATAAAAGTTAACAACATTATAAATAGCCAAAAAACTGCATTCGAATCCAGTATTTTTTCCCCCCACTCAATAGCCCCCAGAATAATTCGAAACCGTTAACACCCACCAAGCTAACCATTAAAATAATACAACGCATATGGCATGACAATTGCATTTAGCATGAAACAGACTGTCGCTTCTGGGTGTTGACTTCTATGTCCACTTTTATATTTACTTATACACTATCTCTGATATTGAGAACTTTAACCCACAAATATAGCATATCTTAAAACAATATTTTGTGATATGTAATCTGTATGGATACATGGCTGAAGTGTTAGCATGTTTAATCTCCAACCATGAAACCCAGGTTCAAATCTCATCATAATTGATTTGTCAGGAAAGGGACTTTTTGATATCATCAATCTGGTGAGGTGGTCTCAGAGTGTGGCACCTCTAGAAAGTGCCTGAAAATCATATCACAGATTAACCCATGGCTTGTGAGTGAAATTGTGGAGACAAATATTCAGGAGTGATCAATCGTTATGCTAGCATGGAGCCATAAGTCATCATGACTGAAAGTTTAAATGTACTGACATTGTTCAAATTGCTGGTCATGACTTTTTATACACTCTCTTCCAGAAAATCTAAGTCTAGTCTGTTCAGCATAGTTACAGTATAAATCAAATGTGCCTGAGAAGGTGTCTGCAATAGGGACTTGTAAATGATATGAATTTTGTAAATATTTTTTTCCTTCTCTATTTATGTCACAATATTTTCAATGCTGTAGTCTTAGCTTTCCTTTTGACATCAATTTGAACAAGAAATTTTATTTGTCTCTTTGTAATTTTGAAATGGAGCTTATAACCCATGACTCACTTTTTTTTTATAATATGAATTCTTTTTCCCCACCTAATAATAAAACAATTTTCAATGCATTCTTATAGTAAAATCATTGAATTTCTATCTATGCTTTTAGTATTTGCTATGTCACTATATATGTAATCATTAGAGGAAATAAAAGTTTGGATGGTTTTGTTTAAGAAATTCAATGGAATGTTACATAAATGGTGAGTAAATAATTTCCAATGAATTTCTATCTATGCTTTTAGTATTTGCTATGTGACTGATTTGATAAATTTATTTAGTAAATTCTTAAGTGAGATTACAAAATCATAATACAAGATATTTGTTGTCTCTTACTAATACATTCATTCCAGTGAATAAGCCAAAATGTGAATAATGAATTCAAAAGAATTTAAACTATTGGTTAATGAATTGAATATTAATATATCCAGTGCACAAAATAATGTTGTTTTGTTATACTTTTAAAACTTGGAGTGCTGATATTCAAGTGTCAGGTAAGCAAACTGGCTACTGATAGCTTGGCATCAACAGGAAATCTAGTACTTGTAAAATCCATAATTAGAAACCTATTGAATCAAACCAATATACTATGGCAGCTACTGCCACTCAAATGCTATTGCAGCTGTTTTCATTCTGATCTCTATTGCTACTGCACTCGGTACTGCAGCTGCTATTACACATGTTACTCCTGCTACTATTATTGCTACTCATACTCTTGTCTCAACAGTTGCTAATGTTGCTTCTGCCTCTGATTGCTAATGCTGCTACTATCACTTCAGCCACAATGGCTATCAATGCTACTCCCATTGATGTTAGTGCTCTGGCCACTGTAGTTGCCAATCATATTATTTCAAATTATTTGAGTTAATATTTGGTTGGATAATAAATTTTACACAATTCTTCTTGAAGAAATAATCAATATATCACATATGGGCAACCTTTTCTAACGAGTTAGACACATGATATATTGCTCATTGTAAGGTATGCCACATTACTAAAACGATTCAAGGTAATTTTTCATTGTAGGAACTTAGCTACGTTCATGACAGAAGAACATGCATAAGCATCATAAAAAGCGAGGGGGAAAAGTTGACATAATTTTTTTTCTTTGGAGAAAAGATTTTTCTATAATTAAAAACTTGAAGTCTTCGTATAATATTATCACAGTGTGATTAACACACTGCTGTGTATGAGTTATTACTAATTTATTCATTTGAAAATAAAAACATTTCTTCTCCGGAGAAAATGATCTTTATGAAAGTTTCCCATTTTTAAAGCAGATGTTTACATGTATGATCTTCCTTAGTGAAAATTTCCAACAGTTTAAAATCATTAAACTATAATCTTCTATGAAAGTTCTATGAAATCTATGAAATTCAAGAAACATTGTACTTAATCATTGTTTATGTGGTTATATATGAGAGAGTGTGTGAGTGAACAAGTGAGAATGAAAGGAAACAAATTTTGATAAACATTATCTTCCTCATGAAATTAGGTGTACTACTCAAAAAGGCAAACAGATCAGAGTTTGCCCATGGCTGTTCTACATAGTTCATATTTGACATAAATTTACTTTTATATACTTGCCTCCATGTTGGAGAATTAGAGAACTGGTTTTTTTTTGGGGGGTAATAAAAAAAAACATTGAAAGCTGAGTTTCCAAACTGGAAGTAGTCTGTCTGGTAGCGTTAAAAAATAAGAATTTGAAATTCTCAGATTGACAGGGATTGAAACACTACAGACATTAGGGAGAAAGCTATAAATGTCTGAGCCACCAACCAAACAAGAGAGAGATAGAAATATGAGGAGACTGAGATAATGAGACAGTTACAAAGAAACTGTGATGGCAATAGATATACATGGAGAATGGAGGAAAATATATTGAGCGATGGAAGGCGAGAGGGGGATACATAGAAAGACGGGGGAAGGCGAGAGGGGGATACATAGAAAGACGGAGGAAGGCGAAAAGGATACACCTGTGGAGAGGGGGATAGAGAGAACAGGTAGACATATAGATGTAACACTGAGATATAACTATTATCCATGAATTCAACCCACACCACAATGGGTTGAAATACTGAACCATTCCCATGTTTGTCTGTATAAATTTCAACATGACAATAACCAGGAAGAACACAAGAACAACTGATTAGCCTGATTTTTTCCCCTTGAAAGCAATTCTTAGTTTCCATTAGAAATTTCAGTTCACTCTATTGTGTTGTGAATGTTTTTGTCTCGTCAAAACAAGTCAACAGAAAAGCATACAATTGTTATTCCAAGTTCCAGAGCCAAACAAACTGAAACAAGCAATTGCAAGATTTAGAGAATTTCAATCATAAACAACTGGCAGGGTTACTTGATATTACCCAGCTGTAAATAATTTCCGAAATCTATATTACTAGTTTACTCATATTGTTATTTTCAGTAATTTTCCAACTGCATTGGTTATAAAAATGAATTCTACTTGCATTAATGTTTTTTTAATTATTTTTTTTATTTTATTTTCCAGGAAAAATCAAAACAAAACGGAATTACTGAGAATTGTGATGCAGATTATGAAGTGACAATGTCAGCAGAAAACGAAATTCAAAGTGAGGGCCATATCTACGCCAACAGTGAACCTATTGCTGATCCCATCTATGAAAATGTTGGGGAGACCAATGGCAAGGCAGAGGAAGATGTATACGAGAACGTTGTAAAGGAAACGGGCGATAATCAGGAGATCAGTGTCACCATCAAAGCAGATATCAACACTTCGGATGCCAATGCCTCAGAGGTCGAGGCTTTGGATGCTAATGCTGCCGAGGTTGACACTTTGGATATCAACGCAGCGGAGGTTGATGCTTCAGATATCAATACTGCAGAGGTTGCCGCTTCAGACGTCAATGCTGCAGAACTTGATACTTCGAATGTCAGTACTTCAGAGGTTGGCGCTTCAGACGTCAACACTTCGGATGTCAACGTCATATATGACACCCCTTCTTCAACTAAAAGACAGGATGATGACAATGATGATGACGATGTTGCCGTGGTCACTTCAGAAGATGATGGAGCCCCTTCCCCCCGTTACGATGATGACGTTGAGATTGATAATGAGAAGGTACTGAAATCTCCCTCCCGTAGTCGTAGCAACAGTGAGAATCGGGAAAGTATTAGCCCTGCTGAGAGACCTGCAAGCCCTACTCCGGAGAGTGAAGAGGATCAACAGGGACGTGCCCTGAGCCCTACCGTGTCGGATGAGGAAGCTGCCTCTGCCAATATGGGTTCTGAAGATGATCCCAACAGAAACAGCCAGAATCTCAACCAGAGTCCTGTTCCGACACCCACCCCCCGGAAGAGGACAAGCCTCAGCAGAAGCAAGAGTCCAGAATTAGAAATTACCAAGGAACATAGCCGTAGCCCCAGTATTAGTTCTGAGGGGAGGAATACACGTAGTCCAAGTCCTGATGACATGATAAATCAGGTAATTTATTTATTCTATTTTTGATATATATATATATATATATTATTATTGTTATTATTATTATTATTGTTATAATTTATATCATTCAATCACACGTAACACATGCTTCAGTGATCATGCATCTTTCAATACATGACAGACTAGGCTGAAGATTTTTCCCCGCATAGGTTGCCATTACTTTCTACTAGGGGAGAAGAGATAGATTCATACCTTTCCCAAGAGTATTAGTGCATAAGTGAATATAACAAACCCAACTGGGATTGAACTTGGCTCTCCAATTTCTCATTCTGAACTGATATCCATTGCACTCCATGCATCACGCACATTCTTTAATAACAGTCAGTTAAGTGCTATACATGATACACACTTGGGCGATCATGTCTCTTTCGATACATGACTGACGAGGCAGATTTTCTCCCACAGTAGGTTGTCATTTTTTTCTGCAGTAGACTGGTTGCCAACCAATGTTAAAGAACCCAGTCTGTCCTGCTGTTCAACCCATAACTGGGGGGAGAAGAGATGATTCATATCTTTCCCCAGGGTATTTATGCGTAAGTGAATCTAACTCAACTGGAATTTGAACTCGGCTTTCAGAGTTCCCACTCCGAGCTGATATCGATTACACCACAACGCACATCCACATTGTTTAATATACAAAACTTTAAATTTTATTCAATATTCTAAGATGAATTATCTAAAATATGTATCATGAAGATTAGAGGATAAACATGGCTGTCTGTATTTAGTTCCTGTTACTTATCTTCCCCTAGTTTTTTTTTTTTTTTCTTTTTAATTATTGTGTTGCTCCCAAAAGGTACTCTTATTAAAGTGTAAATACAAATTTCAAGTTGATGAAACCTGTAAATAATTTAAGGATATTTTTTTTAAAGATATTTCATCTTTGATGTAATGAAAATTGAAATCTTTCTTAAATTCAAAATAGGCTTACAGCCACATCATGTTGAAACACCAGTTTCTGTACGATCACCAAAGTTAAGCAACGTTGAGCCTGGTTAGCACCAAGATGGGTGACTGCTTTGGAATACCAGGTGCTGTAAGCTTGAATGCGCAGATGGTGTAGTGTATAATGGCTTGAAATTTTTAATCGGTGAGCTGAGTTCCAATTGCCTGTGGGTTTGTTATCTCTACTTACGTGCAGATACCCTTGGGAAAAGTATGAATCCACCACTCCTCCAACCAGGACTTGTATCACTACATCATTATTATCTAAAAAAAAAATTCTTATGATCTAAACATCTTTTCTAGCTTTAAATACCCTACAAGGGGTTGATAAGCTGTAAAAAAAAAAACAAAAAAAAATGAATTACAAAGAAAATGAAATTCAAAATAACTATTCATTTGAATTATATGCAGTAAATTAGTAGATTTGAAACCTGTCTAGCAACCAGCTGCAAGTAGTTTAACTGCAAAAAATAATTTACTCTTGAATGACATGATTCATAAATTGGTTAGACATGGTCTTATTGTTATGACATACAGGAGCCTTTCCCTAATTCCCTCACCACCACCACCACCACCACCACCACCACAAAAACAAGTCTCAAAACATATTTCCCATGTCTTACATACAAAATTTCTTGCTTCAAACAATTTTTACATACCAAACATCGAAGCGGAATATAAGGGATTACCTCCCTTACATTCCGCTTCCGTGTTTGAATTAAGCTTTACAAAACCAAGGAAGTTTGGGCCTACCAGTACTTGCACCTTGCCAAATTCCATAATACTGTAATATTAAATGTAAATTGGGGGGAGTTATATATGCAAAGTTGACGTTTCTGGTAGGCACCATACTCAGACACCAGAGACTATCTCTACTTAATTCCATAATACTGTAATATTAAACATAAATGGGTGAATCATCTATATGAAATTCAAGTTTCTTGCAGGTTAATGTTTACCCAGACACCATAGACTACCTCTACTTGTACCTAACTTAATTCCATAATACTGTAATATTAAACATAAATGGGAGAGTCATATATGAGGCTTAATCAAAAAGTAAATGCTATAAAATGAAAACTACAGTGCATATCAATTCGACATTTAATCTCCTCTTAGGTACTCCTCTTATGAATCCATGCATTTTATCCAGTGTCATTTCCTGGAACTCCATTTTCGGAATAAGAAGCAGTTACATTGTCACATTCTCTTGAGCTTCCTCGACATCTTGAAATCTTCTCACTTTCAAGTGGGGCTTGATTTTTGGAAAGAGGAAAGTTTTAAGGGGCGAGGTCTGGGGAATATGGAGGTTGTACTTGGACAAAATATTGTTACACTATCCACACATTCACATGAAGATTTCTAGTCAAAATGTAACAAAAGTATTTAATCTCTGAAGCCAAATAAATTCAATGGTGTGATTATGTTCATATCTGCGATCATGATTACTATTTCACTTATTTCACTCTTTTAAAAAAACTTTGCAGGTCCATGAATTTCAGAAAGAATTTTAATGTAGTTATATTATTGGGTTTTTTTTGGGGGGGGGGGTACCTTACCTTATTTTTTTCTCTAGCACTGTTGTTTACTAACAAAAGTGAGCAGGTGGAGTAACAATTAAATCATGTAATATAAAAAAAATTAGAAACTCTCTCAACAGAGCCAAATAAAAGAAGTATACATTTTTCACTGCATCCCTAGAAAGGGGCACATTGTTAACTGGATGACGATTAGGGTTGAAATAATTTTTTTCTTTTTTTCTTTGAAATAAAGTTGTTTATCTACATATAAAGTACTTAAAAATATTTTATCCACAAGTTACGTCCCTTTGACTATTCATTTTTAAATGTACTTTAAATATTTTTTGTGTGACAAAAGCTTACAGGTTTGTACGATGAATTCTAAGATGGAGTACATGTTGCTGAGGGTGTGTTGCAGTGTCATGGATATCAGCTCAGAATGAGAAATCAGAGTTCAAATTCCAGTCAGGTTCGTTACATTCACTTACACACAAATGCCCTTGGGAAAGCTATGAATCCATCTCTTCTCCCTCCAGCTATAGGTCAAGCAACAGGTCAGACTGGGTTCTATAGCCTTGGCAGATACCAGTTTACCACAGAATGAACTGGCAAAATATTGTGGGAAACTCTTCTGCCTAGTCAATCACGAATCGAAAGAGCCATGATTACCCAAGTGTGTATCATGAATGACATTTAACAAAGTGACATGTTGCTGATCATGACCTTTTAGTATGGGGGTCAAGTTATGGCCCAGTAAAATAGATTGAGAATAGTGAAGTTTTTAATATGGGTCAAAATCTGACACTGAGAGAATGACAAACAAATAGAAAACATTTATAAATTTCAAAACATTTTAAAAGATTTCTGATGAACTTAGACAAAATATGTTAAATTTATGTTTCCTATTTATTCCTTATTCTATTGTATCTCAGTGGTATCAGAAATTTCCAAATCAGTCATATTGACCAGCTAAGAGATGAAAGACAACAGTTGAAAGTGTCAGCAAATATTCCTGTTGCTATGTCCTGAGATCCTTGCTGTTGCACAATATGTGGACTTGTATGCAGGTCACTAGAGGAGCTGAAGTGTCACATACAACACAAACATAAAAAACTGAATGATGTTGGATCTTCATATGTTGAAATTGATAGAGTCCATCATTTCACACACACACACATACACACATTTTACATATATGTCGGATTATAAATAAAATTCATTAATTCCTTTAAAATGACTCTGTTTATATTTTGGAGACAAAAGTAGAAGTTACAGGTATGAGCTTTGAGAGTTCCAAACAAGAGATTTGCATTTCTTAAATAGGTTAACCTTTATTAATCTGTATGTGACTTCATTTGCTATACAAAAAATTTATCCTGTCACTGAAGGTGACACTTTTCCCTGAATCATAGTGTGTTTGAATTTCAAAGTTGTGTTGTCATATCCTGCTATGGCAACAGAAAACAACTTTGAGTGAAATTAGCAATAAGGATACTGCAATTGAGAAGCCTTGAAAAAGAATGCAGTGGAAAGGGAAGTAATATTAATAATGTACAATGCTAAAGGTTAATTAAACTTTGCTTGACTGTGAAAGTCTTATGTGGCTGAGCAGTCTAAAAGCACACAAGCTTAAAAGTTGTTACACCCTACAAAAGGAATGCAGGTTCAAACCCTGCCAAAATGCTCATTTTCTTTATTAAGACCCTTGAATGTATAGGCTGGTACATATAGATTTATACTGTTTAAAAAAAACAAAACAAAACAGATGTCTACTCAGACATGTATTAACTAAATATAACATTTGAATAAGTGTGTGTATATATATATATATATATATATATATATATATATATATATATATATATATATATATAAAACCACCTCACCATGGAGCAAGTTTCTGTTGTAAATCAATGGCAGTTTTTTGTCCCCTCTTGTATGACATAGAGAAAAGGTTACCATTTATTCATGTCACAACTTTGACTTTCATTAGCTGCTCTATGATTGTGGACTTGCAGCAATTTTAACTAAGCTTAGGAAATATATTAGCAATGCAAAAAATTTCTGAGTCTAAAAATTAATCTGAATTCAGATTTTTTTTTAAAACGGATTCATTTTTAATTTATGTATTTTTATTTATTTTATTTTATTTTTTTTACAAAACTCTTTGATCTTTCATATCAGTTATTGGATCAATAACTTCATACTTGAAATATAGTTATTAGCTAGATTTCAATATCAAATATCTGAGAAGCACTGAAAAGAATGATTGTGTTAAAAAAAAATTGTGTAAAATCAATGCGTTTTTCATTATTAGACTATGGACTTTGATGTATCTATGTACATGTTATAATTTCATACAAAATTTTAATAAAATTTTTGAAGAGAAATTATTTTATTTGAGCTGGCATCTCTGCTTTCTGTTTCATTTATTTATTTACAGGGTGTCCCCAAAAAATTTATATCATTTTGTAGCCTAATAACATAGCTAATTCTTGCTCAAATGATCTCAGTTTTTACACATTTTGTTAAAATTTAAGTTGACTGTATAGATTTATCTCGATGAAAATCTACCAGGATGGATCAGGCATAGTGATAATGAAAAAGTGCTGTTGAAATGGCCACCATGTTCACCTGACTTGACACCTTGTGATTTTTTTTCTATGGGGTTGTGTGAAAGGACAGGTCTTATCCCTCTTCTTCCTACAAGCCTAGAGGAACAAGCAGAGAATCACTGAGGTGCTGGAGAATGTTACACAAGACATGCTACAGTGTGTTTGGCAGGAACTGGACTACTGACTTGACATGTGTCGTGTCACAGGTGGTGTACATATTGAACATTTTGTGAAGTTTTATGAAATCGGTTATAAAATCCACATCCCTTTGAATATCTTGTTCAAATTTTGATGAATAAATCTTTTATTGTTCATGAAGCCTATTTAATTTTGTTTGTCTGGGACATGTAGTTAGATACTCATATTTTAAATATATCTATAAGTCTACCATTCTCCTATGCGTAGAATATTGCTGCCACATGTGGTCTGGTGCCCCTGCTATTTACCTTGAGCTCCTTGATAAAATCCAAAGAATCAGCAATATTATTGGTCATGATCTGGAAGCTTGGCTTCAGTCACTTTTCAATTGCCGTAAGGTTGCTTCTCTCTGTCTTTTCTATAAATACTTTCATGGTAATTGTTAGGATGAACTCTTCGCTATGGTATGTAGAGTTTTTGAATTTAAGCACAGTAATAGACTGGTGTCAAGATCTCATCAATTTACAGTTGAGCTGGCTAGATGAAGCCGTAAATTCTACGTTAAGTTTTTCTCGCACTTTTTGCTTGTGAAAACTCCCTTCTGGTTCCATGCTTTCCCACTAACTCTAATCTACAAAAACTCAAATGCAATGTCAAACACTATCTACTGTCCTCTTGATTACTTTTTCCTCTTCCCACTCATTATTAATGTTTCTTCCACACCCTGTAACCCCTTGTAGCTTTAATGCCTTGTATGAGATAATGCTGATTTAAAAAAAAAAAAAAAAAAAAAAAGTAGGGGGTCTAGGTACACATATTTATT